GCGGGGGGGAGGGAGGCATGGCGGTTCTGGGCCTCAGACTGCGCGACTGGCAGCTGCGGCAGCTGGTGCGGCCAGGGCTGCTGAGCCAGGGTGGGCGCCGCCTGCTGCCGAGCTGTCGTCGTCGGCGCCATCGTCGCCGGCTCCTATCTCATCCTGTACCATCCTCCTGCTCCTCCTCCTCCGACCTATCCGCAAATCCTGTATCAACTTCCCCTCTCAAGAACATGCCTCCTCCTCCTCCTCCTCCTCCTCATCCTCCTCCTCCTTTCCTCCTCCTCCTCCTCCTCCTCCTCCTCCTCCTCCTCCTCCTCCTCCTCCCTCCCGTCCTCCAACTCCTCCTCCTCCTCCTCCTCTCCTCCTCCTCCTCCTCCTCCTCCTCCTCCTCCTCCTCCTCCTTCCCCTCCTCCTTCTCCTCCTCCACCTTCTCCTCCTCCTCCTCCTCCTCCTTCCTCCTCCTTCCTCTCCTCCGCCTCCTCTTCAACCTCTTCCTCCTGCTCCTCTACTCTATCCTCGTCCTCCTCCTCCTCCTCCTCCCCCCTCATCATCATCATCATCATCATCATCATCATCATCATCATCATCATCATCATCATCATCATCATCATCATCATCATCATCATCATCATCATCATCATCGCCTCTGCCTCCTCCTTCTCCTGCTCCTTCGTCCTTCTCCTCCTCCTCCTCCTCCTCCTCCTCCTCATCCTGTCCTCCGTCCTCCGTCCTCCCTCCTCCTCCTTCTCCTCCTCCTGCTCCTCCTCCTCCTCCTCCTCGTCCTCCTCCTCCTCCTCCTCCCCTTCTTATCCGTCCTCGATCCTCCCCCTGCTTCGCCTCCTCCTCCTCCGTGCTCCGTCCTTCTCTTCACGGTTCTACACGCCAGCCGAACGTGCAAGCCAGGCTCAGACACGATGAAGCAAGCAAGAACAAAGACGACGGGATGGTGGACAGCCCCTTCTGCCACCCAAATGACCAGCCCGAGCCAACCGACACCAAGGGTTGCTCAACGGGCGGGGGAGGGTGACAGTCCTCTTCCTCCTCCTGCTCCTCCTCCTCCTCCTCCTCCTCCTCCTCCTCCTCCTCCTCCTCCTGCTCCTCCTCCTCCTCCTCCTCCTCCCTGTCGTCTCCGCCCCCCTCTTAAGAGCCAGGGCCGGTCACACGCCTCCTGCTGGGGTGCTGCCTGCAGCGCCTGCTGCTGGGGCTGGAAAGCGTGGGCAGCCTGCCGCCCGCGGGCCCCGCTTCCGTCCTGGACCCCACTCCGCGGGGAGGAGGAGGAGGAGGAGGAGGAGGAGGAGGAGGAGGAGGAGGAGGGAGGAGAAGGAGGAGGAGGAGGAGGAGAGGAGGAGGAGGAGGAGGAGGGAGGAGGAGGAGAGGAGGAGAAGGAGAGGAGGAGGAGGGAGGAGGAGGGGGAGAAGGAGGAGCAGGAGGAAGAGGAGGTGGAGGAGGAGGAGGAGGAGGAGAGGAGGAGGAGGAGGAGGAGGAGGAGCAGGAGGAAGAGGAGGAGGAGGAGGAGGAGGAGGAGGAGGAGGAGGAGGAGGGAGGAAAGCGGATGAAGGCGGCGGACACATACAACACACAGAGGGGTGCTCCCTCCCTCCCGAGGGCCTTCAGGGAGCATGCCCGCCAGCACGGCTGGGCCGTCCTCCTCGAGGGGTCCTGGCCAGAAAGGTGCTCTGGGGGAGGCTCAGGACTCCAACCCGAGGCCTCGCCATGGCTCGGGCATCCAGGCCCCGTGCCGTTGTTCGGTGTCGTGCGTGTTGTTGTTGCTGCTGCTGCTGTTGTTGTTGTTGTTGTTGGTGTTGCTGTTGTTGTCGTTGTCGTTGTTGTTGTCGTTGTTGTTGGTGTTGTTGTTGATGTTGATGTTGATGTTGTTGTTGTTGTTGTTGTTGTTGTGGTTGTTGTTGTTGTTGTTGTTGTTGTCGTTGCTGTCGTTGTTGTCGTTGTTGTTGCTGTTGTTGTCTTTTTGTTCCGCTTTTTGTACATGATCCAGGATGCTCTTCGATGGTCCTCGCCGAGAACAAATGCGCACGTCCGAGCGATGCCAGGAGGCTGCAGGCACACGCTGCTGGACTGATGCGCGAGGAGCAGGGGCCACCTCTCCGCTGCTCCTCGGGGGGGGGGCGGCGGGGTGCCTTGCAATCTGAATGCACGCGCTCGCGCGGGCTGTCGAGGGACGATGCCGTCAAGCTGCATCCCCCCCCTCGCGACGGCCCTACACCCCTGCTTAAGAGTTGGAGCTAGAAAGTTCGAGGCTAAGAACCTCGGCTTCACTCCAAGAGTTTTCTTAACCTGTAGCCCAGGTCCAAGCCAACAAACCTCTTACGTAGGAACGAAGCTCCACGACAACGCCCAGGGTCAAATACAGATCCTTGGCTTCCTTCAACGAAATCTGGAGTCCATGAACATGGATGCGTTTTCGAAATAGAGTCCAAACGGGTGCATGACGTCCTTGAGACTCCCCAGGCAACGCACATAAGACAGCAAGACGGTTATGTCCCCGAAGCTCCAGTAGAAGGCCCTGCCAATTATCCTCGAGAAGGTCATCCCTCCGTCCAGCTACTCAGCATTGCCACCACCTATATCACCTCTACCTTCCCCCCCCTTCTTCCTCGGCAACCCCCTGAATTGCACTCTCCATGCCCGCGCCTCTATTCCCTCCCGCATTCCCCGACTCCTACGGTCACCCCCCTGTTTTCATCCTGCATTGTGGTTCCAGCTTTCTCCTCCTCCCCTCTCCTTTGCAAAACCTGCATCCTTTAAGCCCCTTTCCCGCTCTCCGCCACTTCCCCTCGATTCCTCCCCCGAGCCTCTTATCCAGATGTCCTCCCCCATGCCCCTCTTCCCCAACTCACCTTCGCATCCCCAACCCCATCCCCAACCCTCCACCTCTCATATATCCCATCCGACGTCTTGTGGTTTTTGTTGGGGGGGGGGAGGCGCAGGAGATGGGAGCGGACCGCGATCATGTACACGACTCGCCTCGCCAAGCGTGCTGGCAATGCACTAAAAGTCCGTCGCATGCCTGTCCTGCGAAGGTTCCCATCCCCCGTCTTGTATGCTCCTACTCTGGCTCCTGCGGCTGCACCTGCTGCTCCTATTCCTCCCGATGCTGATCGTCCCCGCTCTCCCTCCTCCTGCTCCTCCGGCTATGCCTCGCCCTGCCGCCCTCGCGCATCACGCTCTCCCTCTTCCGCCAATTCTCCTTCTCCTCCCTCTCCACGCATCACCGCGCATCCTCCTCTGCCCCCACTCTCTTTTTTCTCACTCTCCACCTCGTGGTAGAGACGGAGGGAGGGAGGGAGGGCGAGGAGAGAGCGGCGTGGGGCAGGAGCGATGGAAAAGGGAAAGGTGGCGGTGGGAAGGCGGGAAGAGCGAGGGAGAAGGAGGGAGGTCCCTCCCTCCCTCCCTCCCTCCCTCCCTCCCTCCCTCCTCCTCCTCCTCCTCCTCCTCCTCCTCCTCCTCCTCCTCCTCCTCCTCCTCCTCCTCCTCCTCCTCCTCCTCTGGGGGGGTGACGCGGGAGGACGGATAGTTCAAGGAAGCAGAAGACGGAGAGCGGCGAGTGGAGGGAGAGCTAGAGTGAGGGGGCGAAGACGATGTCGGGGTGGATGGGCAGTGGGCTTAGGCCGGAAATGTCCCCCTGCATGCCGATGTTGAGCAGAAACTAGAACATACTCCACAAGTGTTCAAAAGTGTCCAAAACAGTACTTTTAAAAAAGTATCCCAAGAGTTTGTTTGCCCATTTTTGAATATTCCTCCTGTAGAGGGACGCGCCCGATTTAACAGTGGGCACGATCAGCAGGACGACGAGGACGGTGACGAAGAACCAGGCGCAGAGGGCGAGCGGGCTCCCGGAGCTCTGTGAGGAGGCGCTACCCGCCCTCCTCGACGGCCCCCCTCATCCTACTGGCCGCAGGTCGGGTATACCCCTACAGGCGGATCCTGGGCGATTTCAACTTGTTGTTTAAGAAAAAAACAGTATTCGAAACAGAGCAAAAAACAAAAAATCGTCCCCCGAGGAGGAGGAGGACGAGGAGAAGGAGGAGGAGGAGGGCGTCGAACGATGGGAATGCCAGTCCGCCGTCCTCGACTCGACTGGCACTCCTATACCTGCTAGAGGGGGATGGGGGAGGAGGGTCCGATTCGTTCGCACGCCTGGGCGCCGGAGGCATCTGGCGGTGATCGAAGCGATGCCCGGTCTCGAAGCGATATAAGCGGTTCGGGCCGCGCGAAAGCGGCTCAGGATGAGGAGCTGATGCCTGGGTTGAGGCCCCCAATGCTGGGGCCAAAGTTCCCTCGGCACTCGTGTCCTCCGTGGCGAGATCAGCCCGCTCCGCCCACCTCCCGCATCCTCTGGAACCTCGTCCAGGGTCGTCAACTTCTGTAGCGGAGGGTGCAGCTTTGTGCGGGCAGAGGCGCCCGAACGCATGCTCAACTCATCTTTGTTGGGCGCTGCCAGCTCGCGTCTGACAACCACCTGCCTGGAACATGTCTGGCATGAGACGCTCGCCAAATCCTGGCTGGGATCGTACAGTTGAGGGACTGCTGCGGGACATTGCTTCTTGGCGTCGCGTTGCACATGGGGGCACGTATGACCAAGAGGTCCAAATCGAAGGCTCGATCTCAGTATCGAGTTCGGAACTTCGCTGATCAATGAGTCGCTCGAAACTTCCAGTGGCTGCGCCTACATGAAAAACACAAAATCTGGTTTGCATCTTTGCGTTCCGTGCGTCTGTATGCCAATCCAACTCCAGAAGCCCTGGACCAAACAATGATGACGCCACACTTTTACTTCCACCGCAATCCGCTAGCCTTGCTCTGGCGGAGACACCGCGGTTGTACTTTCGCCTGCCTCGACCTCGCCTCCGCCGGGAGGAGAGGCTGCGTCAAAGGGTGAGGCCCTCTCTCCAGCAGCGCACACGAAGAATCCAAGACCTCGCACCTGTGTGCAAATTATATGCGCCGCTGCGCTGGCGCACGACAAGAAAGAGGCGAGCCCGCGGAGCCTGGTGCTGCTCGAGCTGCAGGGTTGGCTGGTCCGGATGCGCCAGCGGGAGCGGGGGCAGCTGGAGATGCTGTGGCTGCGCTTGCGGCACCTGGGCCTCCGGCTGCACAGGCGTCGACTGCTCCCGCTGCTGCTGCTGCTGCTGCTGCTGGAGCATGGTATTACTATTGTGCTGGGCGGTCAGAAGAAGGCCAGAGATAGGATGTAACCGCGAGGGCGACGACGACGAGTTCGGCGATGGCATCAGAGAGGACGATGCCGAGGAGGACGACGACGACAGCGAGGACACGGATGGCGAACAGTACGAGGCTGGGGACGTGGGTGGGATTTATTAGGTGTACGATGGCGGCTGATTGCTTAGACCATGATGCTTGATGTTAAGGAGCAGCGTCAGCGGCTGCAGCACCGAGGGAGGACCGACAAGTATCGCTCCTCTTCTCCACGAATCATCCTGCTCATCCTTCTCATGCTCCTGGTCATGCTCCTCCCTCTTCCTTTTCCTCAACCTCCTCCTGTTCTTTCTCGTCCTCCTGCCCCTGCTCCGTCCGAAGGTTACAAAAGGCCGATCCTGCTGCTCGAAAGCGGCCAGGTAGTACGTGTACGCAGCCAGCTGCTCCGGACCTGCCCCCCCCACGTCCCCCCACCTCCCGTCCTCCCTGGAGAATCAGGGCGAAAGTAGGGGAACAAAAAGTGACATAAACATAAAAACTCGGAGGTCCGCGCGGACTTCTCGGATCGGCGCTGGGGCCCCGCTGGCGGCGCCTCCAGCGCCGCCCCTGGTGCGCTCCGCACGCCAGTGAAGGGGTTCCAGCGCCGATCCCAGAAATCTGCGCGGACCTCCGACTTTTTATGTTTATGTCACGTTTTTCGGGAGCGGCCAAGAGGGGGGTGTCCAAGAGGGGGGGGTGCAAATCATGGTTGGCGGCATGTGCGCGGCCCAGGGGGGGGGCCAGGGACGTAATGAAACAAGAAGAGGCGCCATGAAATATGCGGAGATATCATGGCCCGCGCCATGATATCCCCCCCCCCCAGTCATCACCCCCCTCTTTTCCGCCCCCGATTTTTGTTCCCCTAGAAAGGGGGGATGACCCGAGATCTTCGAGGAAGACTCGCGCCTGCTGCTTCCTGTTCGGCCTCCGGCGGCCGGGGCCCTCGGAGAGGCCCGAAGAGCTCGGGGCGGCCTTCCGCGGTGCTCGACGAGGGACCCGCGTCTGCCGGACGAGACCTAAAACGACGCGAAGATCAGGACAAAATCGGATCGGGATAACTCGAAAACTCTGAAAATCGGCGGGTTTGGAGGATGTAGTGGGCGCCGCGGCCGCTCCAGAGCGTTCCGGAACGCTCTGAGAGCGCTCCGGAACGCTCTGGAGCGATTTATCCAGATCCTAGCCCTGTTTGAAGACCTCATCAGGCTGACGACTGGCTGTCAGCTTCCAGCCCCAGACATGCGACGTCCTGATCTTGTTCCGTACGGGGCCCCTGGGAGTCCCGCCCGACTCGGTTTCTGACGGTCCCGAGGCCCAGCGAGGGCGCCCAGGGGCCGAAAACGGGCAAAAACCTGCCGTCTTTATACTGAGCAGGGACCGCCCGTCCCGGCGTTTCCATAGGCCTACCACGACATGCTCTTGGAACCCGAAGCTGTTCTAAGAACAAGAGCAGTGCTCTTAGAACAGGACAGCCCGACGTGTTCAAGCAAGACAGGCCCGGCCAGAAAGGTTCTAATAACATTTCGTGCAGACCACAAACAATTCTTAAAACATTGTTTGGTAGGCCTACAGGCACGCCAGGACGCTTCGCCACTGCTTGACTGTATTTCTCAACGGCGCGATCATGTCTGGCGTGTGATCCTTCGCTCGTGGCTTCGACCGCGCGCGCACGCGTCGGCACAGAATGTTCTGCCAGCCTCCCCGAGGCCAGCCCTGCTACAGTCAACCTGTATAGTAAGCATGCGCGATGATAAGGATGCAAGGGCCTTGAACGCCCAGTTCGAAGCTTTTCGAGCGGGGCGCGGCCAACGAAAGTGGCGAAGGATGGACCGAGGCAAGGATGCAAGGGTGCCCTTGGGAAGCTTGCCCATCCTTACTGTGCTGGTTGACTGTATACGCGCCCCCTGGCCCCCGCGCGAGGCCGCGGGTGCAAAGCTGGTCCCGCACGCCGGCTGCGTAAAGTCCCGGAGCAGAGGAAGAGCATCGGCAGCGCGCTCGTGGGGACTTCGGGCTCGGGCTTCCTGGTTTTCGGGCGTCGTCCGTCGGCTCTCGGCGCACTGCAGGCCTCGGGATGCGCACTGGCAGCCGCGCCTCGTCGAGGGCGTTCCGGGGGGTGCCCGGAGCGCCCCGAGCGGCCGCCGGAGGTCCAAGTTAGGACCCCAAAAAGCCGCCGGCAGAGGGCGCGGGCCTCCTCAGAGGGCTCGGAGGGCCTTCTGGGCAGCTCTCGCGGGGCCTCCCCCGAAGGCGCACGCAGAGAAGTTCCCAGGAGGCCGCGGGGCTGCCGAGAAGCCCCGCCGCCTGATGAGAAGGCCTGCTCCGTCTCACTCCCCCTCCCCATGCGCGCCGCCGAGTAAAAAAAAAAACGTCATGTATGTGCATATATATATATATATATATATATATATATATATATATATAATAATGAGCGAGAGAGTCAGAGAGAAAAAAAAAGAGAGAGAAAGAGAGAGAGAGAGAGAGAGAGAGAGAGCGCGCCACAGAGCCCGAGCAAAGGGGAAGGGGGGGCTAGGCTTAAGCTACCCCCCCCTCCCTTGAGCCGCCCTTGTTGGAAGCACCCCCCCCCCTCCCCTTTTTTTTGCAGGGGGGGGGGCTTACAGCTACCCCCCCCCTCCCCCCTTGAGGCCCTCCCCGGAAGCTACCCCCCCCCTCCCCCCCTTTCCAAAGGGGGGGGGTGCTTAAGCTACCCCCCCCCTCCCTTGGCGCCGCCCTGCTGGAAGCTACCCCCCCCTCCCCCCCTTTCGTGCAAGGGGGGGGTGCTTGGAAGCTACCCACCCACCCACCCCCTTTTGCCGCCCCGGAAGCTCCCCCCCCCGCCCCGCACCCCCCTTTCCAAAGGAGGGGGGCTCAAGCTACCCCCCCCCTCCTCCCGTGGAGCCGCCCTGCTGGAAGCTCCCCCCCTCCTTTGTGCCACAGGGGGGGGGGGCTTGGAAGCCCCCGCCCCCTTCCCCCCTTTGGCCGCCCAACCCCCGTGTGGCTCCTGCACCACAGCCGCGCCCGCGCGCACGACGCGACGAGCGACGAGCGACGAGCGACGACGACGACGCGAGCAGCATGTATGTGTGCACCACAACGCTCGCGTGTACCACACAGCGCGTGTGCACCACAGCGCCTGCGTACGTACACCGCAACAGCCGTGTGCAACGCACCGCCCGTGTACACCACAATACTTGGGAGCACTACAACGCCGGTGTAATACACCGCAGCAGCCATGTGCAACACAACGCCTGTGTACACCACAGTTTCTGCGTGCACCGCAGCGCCTGTGCACGCCACAGCGCCTGTCTACACCACAGCATCCGCGTGCAACGCAGCGCTGGTGTACACCACAGTGAGTGCCTGCGTGCACAGGACAGGTAGAAGGAGCATGTACGTCAGGATTTGATGCGGACAACTAAACTCGGGGATGGACAGAACCCCCTTTAGCAAAACGTGGTTTAGTGACAACGACCTGGGGCCCAAACCTGGAGGGCGCAAGCCTGGAAAATGACGGCCGCGGCGCCCTCTCGAGAACCGAAAAAGGACAGTTCACTAATCGACGCGTCAGGGTAGGAGGTCTGTCCACCCCCGATAAACGCCGCGCCAGGAAAGTTCTGATAATCGAATGCGACGTTGTTCCCTCCTTCCTCCTCCTCCTCCTCCACCTCCACCTCCTCCTCCTCCTCCTCCTCCTCCTCCTCCTCCTCCTTTTCCTCCTTCCTACCTCCTGTCGTGCGGCTTGGCGGTACAACGCTCGTGCGCATCTCAGCGTGCACCGTCGAATGGTCGATTGAATCGGGCCAGTTGGTTGTCGGACGGCCAGTTTAGCTGGAGCCTCCGGGACGCAAATAGGAATTAGGGTGATGCGGGCGGACTCGGGGGGACTCGTAAATTCCAGCGGCGCTCCTTTGTCCATGAGGATTTGGTTTCCATTGTTTTCACTGGAATCCACACGCGCTCCATTTTGTCACAAATTCTATACACAACAATGGTGTGGTGTTGCACACGGCGGATGTGGTGCACACAGGCGCCGTGGCGTACACAGGCACTGCAATGCACGCAGGCATTGTGATGTACACTGGTGCTGTGTCGCGCACGGCTGATGTGGTGTACGGAGGCGCTGTGGTGTACACAGGAGCTGCTGTGCCCGCAGGCACGGTGGCACAAACTGACGGTGTGTTGCACGCGGCCGCTGTCGTGTACATCGGCGGTGTGGTGTACACAGGCGCTGTGGTGCTCGCGGGTAATGTGATGTACACAGGCGTTGTGGTGCATATCGCCACCTACATGTTCGTGCTACCCGTCTTCCGTCATTCCTAACCATTCCCAAAAGCCGCCGGCGCGAAACGTGACGTCATCGACCCCCTCCCCCCCAGATGATTGCCGTCATCAGCCCAGACTTAAAAACAGGCTGCAGCCGCGTCTGCGCGCACGACGACGATGAGCGATGAGCGACGAACCACGAGCGACGACAACGAACGACGACGACGACGACGACGACGCCGGCGGACCAGACACCTATGCGGATTCCCACACGGACACCCACGCGGATCCCAATGCGCACGGCGGCAGTGCCCGGAGCGCACTGAAGGGGGGAGCGTTACGTCATAGGGGCGGGGGGGGGAACCGGGGGCCATGACGCCCGTCATGCCCCAAGCAATAAAGAAATGGGCTCCTGACATAGAATGCGGGATGGCGTTGACGCCGCCGCCTGGAAAGAACAGAAAAAGAGAGGCGCCAAACCGCGCACCAAACAAGCAGCCCGCTCAAGCAGCAACGGAGCCACGTGGCCCGACGTCTGCGGCTTCAATAGCCTGCACAACAGCGCTCACGAAGTTGACAGCACTGACGCGACGAGAGTGGATCGCCGCTCATTCGCAAACGACGCCGGATACGGGTGCATCGCGCCAGGGAGCGCCAGCTCTTGCAAAATTCGGGGAAGCTCGAGGAACGAGGATCAAAATTCGGGGAAGCTCGAGGCTCGAGGTCGCCTGCCTGGCTCGGGGCTCGGGGCCCGAGGCCTAAGGGGAAGCCCCTCCGCCGCGCCCCGGCCTCCGAAGCCCGCTCCCAGGGCATCCCCCGGGGCCGCTCTGGAGGCCGCATAGGGAACTCCCTAAGGAGGTCCCCTACAAACCTCTAGGAGGCCTCCTCCTCTTGAGGGGAAGCCTCCGGGAGACCTCCCCTCCCCCTCCCAGAGGTCGGCCGAGGCGGGCCCCGGGGCCCAGACCTCCAACGTCTTGAAAAAATCAAGGCGGAAGGGTTGAGAGATTTTCTGCCTCCGGCCCCAGGAGAGGAGGGATCGGCCGGGACGGGCCCCGGGACTCAGACCTCCGACGTCTTGTGGCAAAAATCAAGGCGGAAGCTTTTGGATATGTTCGGCCTCCGGGGGCCCTCGGCGGGCCCGGGGACCGCCGGGAAACG